AAAACCAGAACGAGATAAGGGTGCTGGCACCACCACTTTGGTTCAGTATATCCTGGGGGTATCCTGGGGGTTCTAATTTTGTTCACTGAGACAAGAAAAGTTAACCTAAAGGCTTAAGTTTTGTACCACGAGAAAACTTGTTATTCACAGATGATTTTTTTTTTTTTTTTACATAGAAAAACTTAAGTAACACACAAATTATTAGGAATAACAGTTTAACAAGGTAGCTTGGACATAGAAGATCAGGTATACCAAAATGAGTTGCGTTTGTATTTGCCATGAATAGTTAATGAAAAAAATAGTTAATAAAAAAATAAGTTTTAATATATACTGTTTATAACAGCGATTTAAAAAATTAGGATACCTAGGAATCAATCCAGGGAAAGCATGGCCTGTCTGGGGGAAATAACTAAACTTTATCGGAAATCTTTAAGGGCGACTTAAATAGAAAAAGTGCCAGTTTCATGGATAGAAAGGTACACTAGGAGTTATTGCAGAGTTATTTTTCCCCAAATCGATCTACTGATTCTGTATAATTCCAATCAGAATTCCCACAGGTTTTCTCAGGAATGGGACAGGCTGACTAAAATTTATCCAGGAGACCAAAAGCCTACAAATACTTAGGACACTTCTTTTTGAAAAGGAGGAGGCCTCGGCCTATTAGAAGGCATTGTAGTATTGGCCTAGGGTTAGACAGTTTGGCCAATAAAATATAGCCCCAAAAGAGGTCCAGGCTAATGGTGGAACTGCTTATGATTCTGGTAGAGTTCTAGATCTCTGGTGAAAGGATGGACACTGTATTGCTTATTCGTGTAGAAAAATGTGCAATTATACCCCTACCTTACCTCGCGCACAGAAATTAAAATCTCGATGGACCGGAAACTGAAACGTGAAATACAAAACTAAAACTCGCAGGAAAAAATATAGAACAATATTTTTATGACCTCAGAGTAGAGTAAGATTTGTTAAGGCATAAAAAGTTAACTTAAAAAAAAAATAATAAATGAATTAAAAATAAAAATTTATCTTCTTTGAAAGATAATATAAAGAAAGATTAATTCAAGCCCCCCCAAAATAATAAATGAATTAAAAATAAAAATTTATCTTCTTTGAAAGATAATATAAAGAAAGATTAATTCAAGCCCCAAACTGAGAGAAGATTATTTGCAATAATATGACCAACAAAGAATCAGGAGTTTACCAGTTCAGATTCTGCCCACTGCCCGTTTTTATGCTGATGGCAAGCTAAGAATGCTTCCCTGCCCCCATTCCCCATCCCCTCCCCGCCCCCCACCCAGCTTCGTCCTCCGCCCCAGTTAAACTTTGTATTTTGAGATCATTGTAGATTCACTTGAAGTTGTAAAGAACAACACAGAGAGACCCAAAGAATCAGGAGTTTACCAGTTCAGATTCTGCCCACTGCCCGTTTTTATGCTGATGGCAAGCTAAGAATGCTTCCCTGCCCCCATTCCCCATCCCCTCCCCGCCCCCCACCCAGCTTCGTCCTCCGCCCCAGTTAAACTTTGTATTTTGAGATCATTGTAGATTCACATGCAGTTGTAAGGAACAACACAGAGAGACCCGGGCGGACTCTATCCAGTTTAGTAACATCTTGAAACAAAATCACAGCCAGGATCTTGACCCTGATACAGTCAACATTTCCTTCACAGCGGGTTCCCTTACAGCGGGTTCCCTTATGTTGCTTTTTTTTTTAGAGCCACCCCACTTCCCTTCCATCCCCGACCCGACCTTAACCCCTGGCAACACCTGATCTCATCTCCGATCTGGTCTCCGTTTTTACAATTTCATAATTTCAAGGCTGTTATATAAGTAGAATTATATACTGTGTAACCTTATGGAACTGGCTTTTCCCACTCAACATAGTTTTTTGGAGATTCGTCCAGGTTATTGCATATGTCAATGTTTTTTTCCCTTTTCATTGCTGAGTAGTAGTCCATGGTATGGACGATCTGCCGTTTGTTTGACCATCGACCCGGCAAAGGACATCTAGATGGTGTTCAGTTTGCGGCTATGACAAATAAAATTGCTAAACATTCATGTACAGAGTTTGTGTGTTTCTTTGGGATAAATGCCCCCAAATTGCAATTGCCAAGCGGTATGGTCGTTGCACGTTTACTTTTTAGAGAAACAGCCAAACTGTTTTCAGAGCGGTCGTACCATTTTACCTTCCTGCTGGGAACGTATGAGGGGTTTTCTGCATCCGCCGCAGCCTTCGATGTGGTCACGTTTTTCATTTTAGCCATTCTGATAGGCGTGCCGGGATATCTTATTCTGGTTTGGATTGGTATTTCCCTCATGCCGATGAGGTTGAACATCTTTTTGCGTGCTTATTGCCCTCTGCCTCTCCTCTTTGACGGACTATCTCTCCATTGCTTTCGTCCATGTTCTAATGGGATCGTTTTCTTGCTGTCGAGTTTTGAGAGTTCTTTATGTATTCTAGGTACTAGTCTTTTGTTGGATATGTGGTTTGCAAATATTTTCCACTCTGTAGCTCTCTTTCTCATCCTAACAGGGTTCTTTTGCAGAGCAAAAGTTAAATTTTCATGGAGTCCAATTTATCACTTTTCTTTATTTCCTCTTTTGTAAACGGTGCTTTTGTTGCCAAGTCTAAGAAATTATTGGCCAGCCCTAGATCCCGAAGATTTTCTTCTATTTTTTTTTTCCTGGAAGTTACAGAGTTTTACCTTTTTTTAAGTCCACATCTGTTCTGAGTGAATTTTTGTAAAAGCTGGGAAACTTAGGTTGAATTTATTATTATTATTTATTTTTTTTGCCTGTAGATGTCCAGTTGCTCCAGCACCATTTTTCGGAAAGCCTGTATTTCCTCCATTAAATTGCTTTTTCGGCTTTATCAAAAGTCAGTTGGGCATATTTGTTTCTGTGTTCAGTTTTGTTCCATTGGTTTCTGTGTCTCTGCCACACCCACACAGCTTCAGTGCTGTAGCTGTAAGTATTGAAATGGGGTGGATCGATTCCTGCCACTTTATTATTTTTCAGAATTGTTTTAGCTCTGCTAGTTCCTTGGTCTTGGCACATATATCTTAGAATAATCTCGTCTATACTTGCAGAAATCTTTTGCTGGGATTTTGCTAGGACTTGGGTTAAACCTGCATGTCAGTTCAAGGAGAACGGCATGTTTATTATAGGTCAGGTCTTTCGGTCCATGAACACGGTGTGTATAGTCCACGTATTCAGAGATCTGCTTTGTTTTTTTTCGTCGGCATTGTCCAGTTTTCAGCAGACAAGTCCTGGCACGTTTCGTTAGCTTTACACTTAAGTATTTCATTTTATTCGAGTGATTATACATTGTATTTTTATTTCTGTGTCCACTTGTTCATCGGGAGTATATAGAAATTCAGTTGATTTTTGTATATTTATCTTGTATCTTGTGACCTTGCCGGACTCACCTATTCTAGGAGGTTTTTTTGTTTGTTTGTTTTGTTTTTAGATTCTTTTGGATTTTTCTCTGTAGACAATCATGTAGTTTGCAAACAGGGTCAGTTTTATTTTTTTCCTTTCTGATCTGTAAGCCTTGTGTTACTTTTTCTTGTCTTAGCACTGGCTAGAATTTCCAGCACCCTGTTGAGTTAGTGAGACTGGACATCCTTGCCTTTCCCCTATAGAGTGGAAAGCATTCTGTCTTTCAGAGTAAAGTGAAATGTTATCTATAGTTTTTTTTTTTTTTTTTTTTAGATATTCTTTATCAAGTTGAGAAGTTCTCTGTTTCTGTTTCTGAGAGTTTTTATCATGAATGGGTGTTGTATTGATTTCCCGGACTACTGTAACAAAATATCACAAACTGGGTGGCTTAGAACAACAGAAATTTATTGTCTTACACTTCTGGAGGCTAGAAGTCCACAATCAAGGTGTCTGCAGGACAAGGCTCCCTCTGAAACCTGTGGGAGTTGTTCCTTGCCTCTTCCTAGCTTCCAGTAGTTTGCCAGGGTCTCTGACTTACGGATGCATCTTCTGTCCTCACATGGCGTTTTCCTTACGTGTCTTTACGTTGTCTTCCCTCCGTGTCTGTCTCTGTGCCCGAGTTTCCTCTTTGCATAAGAACAGGGTCATTCATATTGGGCTACGATATACCCTAGTGACCTCATTTTAACTCGAAGACCTCTCTAAAGAGCTTATTCCCAAATGAAGTCACATTCTGAGGTACTGGGGGTAGGACTTAAACATCCTTTTTGGTGTGCCCTTTGGGGAGAGGATTTATCAGTTGGAATCTTTCAAGGATTGGCTTCAGAGGTGCAACATAAATGCTCAGGAAAAGTTCGGGTCAACGTGGGCAAGAAAGTATCAAATGACATCACAAACCCTCCCAGGAGTGAAGGACGGGAGTTTTCAGATCGAAAGCAACCAATCAGCGCTCAGGATAACGAATGGGCAAATAAAAACCAACACTAAGGCACATTATAGACATATTTTAGAATACTGAGATAAAGCTTCGGAACGAGACTCCACATCGAAATGGTGTTATCGAATTCTGCAGGAAGATGACGTCCAACCCCACCCAAATCCATTCATCAAACCAGTCTAGAACGTGGGCAGAGCAAAGCCTTGTTCAGAGACATAGGATCTCAAAAGCGTATGCCCCGTGTACCTGTTCTCAGAAAGCTGCAGAGGGATGCGCTCCGAAAAAATGAAGCGATAAACCAAAAAAGACGAGTCGCTCTGGGAGCAGGAGATCCACCCAGAAGAGGGCCAGAGACTTCCCAGGTGGTGACAAAGGACTGACGATTCGTCACCAGCCAACGGCAGGATGGTGTGAGGCTGAAGGCGATGTTTGCACGAAGGAAGATGAAAAACTGGAGAGGTGTCGTGAAGAGTGTGGGAAGACAGCCAGAGGTTTCAGGAAACCCAGGTAAATGGAGGGAGGAAAAAAGCAGCGTTTAATCCCTGGGGCAAAGGCTGTATGAGAATAAAAACAATCCTAATACCTAACTTGATTCAGCAGCGATCGGTGTTTGCACAGTCACATGATAGTAGCGGAGGGTCTCAGCAGGGACCGACATGACCAGGTTTAACCAATAGATGAAAACATCGACTTCGTTGGCATGTAGCTTCATGAAGTAAAAGGAACCCAGCTTGATGAACGGTGGCGTATGTGTTCCAGCCATGTGACCTAGGTCACAGTCAAATGCAGAGTGTTTCCGCTGCCCACAAGTTTCTCTCGCGTCCCCTCCGCGGGGCCCCGGGCAGCCGCTGGCCTGCTGCCTGTCGCCTCGGATGAGTCACCTCTCCCAGGGTTTTGGTCCGTGGAGCCGCTGCACGCCGCTGTGAGCCTGGCGTGCTCCGCTCAGCAGAACGGACGCGGTCGGGGTTCATCCGGAGGGTGCGGCGTCCTGCGGCATCGGGCCGTTCCCTTCATCGCTGAGTGGTGGCCCGCTGTGCGGACATGCCCCGTTTGTCCACCCGCTCACGGGGTTTCAGTTTTAAAGGGACCCTGCAGAGCAGCTTCCAGGGCCCGGGTGGCCCAGGTCAGGATGTGTCTTGTCACACCAGCTCAGCGCTGCTTGGCGGACCCGCCAGGCATGTCCCGACCCAGGCCTCCACCTGCGTCTTCAGCCCGGAGCCTCTTCCCTCGCCGTCTGCGGGGTCCACTTTCTCCCCTCACTGAGATCTCGGTTCAGCTGTCACCCCTGTTTCCACTCTCCCCGGCCTCGTGTCTGTCCGGGGCCCTTGGGACGCCCCTCCATGGGGCACCCATTGGTGTGCTGGTCGCCTGTGAGCTCCGTGGTGGCTGTGTCTGTCTGGAACATGCACGTTTTATAAGTGTTTGTGGGGCGACTACACGTGGGCTCCGCGTCCTTTGTCACCCAGTGCCTGGCACACACAAGTGCAAGGTGTGTAACTGGGTGAGAGGAGCCGTTGCCAGTCAGCACTGTAATGTCACATTCCGCCAGGTGTGCCCTTCACGTGGCCCCAGGTACAGTTCCCTAGGGAGGGCCACGGGCCTTAAAAAGAGATGGCTGGGGTGACCGGAAGGGACCAGGGGTGTGACCATGAGTAGGCTCGGGGTTCTCAGGCTGGGGAGCCACCACCGTTCTGAGTGTGAGGTGCGGCCGGCCCCCGGGAGCTTCTTTCTGGGGTGTGCAGGGGACCGAGGGACGCCCTCTGTCCCAGAGCATACGGGCCTCTGACCTTTGTGTGCCCTCTGCCTTCTTGCCCACTGCCCAGCCTCACAGTGTAATGCTGGAGCGGGCTACCTCGCAGAACACTCGGCCAGCTGGTTCCGTGTCCCAGGACAAAGGGACGAGGTCGTTAGCAGCTGGTGCTTTATCTGGGCCCATGGGGGACGGTGACGCAGTGGCAGCAGAACTCGACCATCAGCGGCCGCCTTGGCAGAGGTCGAGATGCTGCCCTGACGTCTGTAGTGTCCAGGTGGCCACCTCTGCGTCCTACACGCATCCCGGAATTTGGGATCTGTTTCGGGGCCATGTGCCTGCATGGTGGTTGGTTGATAATCATGTAGATTTTCCTCTGAAACTTAACTTCACAAACGGTCAAAACGGGCTTGTTTCTATTTATCTCTTAAATCATTAGGGAATAACAGACCACAAATGGATTAAAATGTTTCTGTATTAATAATCATTTTTAGCTTGAAGCCGCCGCTGGTAATTGGTTCTCGGGCTGGTGTTGAGAGCTGTCTTCGCAGAGTCTCAGTGGAAAGGCACCTTCCGTGCGCTTGGCTGGGGACAGCAGCACAGTCACTTTGCTCCGCTGGTGTCCACGGGAGGCGCCGCGGGCTTCACGGGGCGGTTTGCTTGGGCCTCACCGGTTGACAGCGGGGTGCTGCCGCCACGCGGGCTCACCCCGCAGGCCGCGTCAGCCTCGCTTTGCCATGTGAAGGCTGCATCACGGTGGCCGGCGCTGTTACTCCCCCGTCCTGAGTGCAGGGCCAGGTAACCAGCCCAGACACGAGGAGCCACTCAGTTCTGGAAGCAGGAAGAAGCCCAGGCAGCCTGTCCAGAGCTGTCACACTCCAACTGCTACCATGTACCAAGCAACATCCTGAACAGATGGATGCCAGCCCGTTCACACCAGCCTGTTCACACCAGCACAGGTGTGATCCCCGGTGTAGAAGAGGAAACCCTGGGTCCTTTCTCTCCCTCCTTCCCCTCCCCCTCCCTCCCACTCATCCATCTCATCCGTCATTCAGCATATGCTGCCTGAGACCTCGATGCCCCGGGCACCTTTCCCTCGGCCCTGGGGCAACCTCAGGGGTCAAGTTGATTGTCAAAGGACAAGTGTGATGCTCATTCTCATGGTGCTATTGTCCCAGCGGGAGGGGACTTACAATCATCCAATTCATAAGGAAAACGCCAGGTGACAAGCACCAGGCGGAGGATTAAAACAGGTGAAGCGATGAAGCGTGAGAGGTGGTTCTTAGGCCTCTTTCTGAGGAGGTGACGTCTCCACTGAGATACAAACCAGCACATGCTGAGAAGACAGGAGAATGTTCCAAGCCAGGGGCACCCGCAAATGCCCCCGAGGTGTGACGTGGCAGCAGAAGGGTGGGTGGACAGGAGCCCAGTGCCCGGGAGGGCGATGCCGGTGACCTTGGCGAGCGGACCTGGAGACTGGGCTTCGCGCATAAGCTCAGTGGGAAGACGGGAGGTTTTGCTGGGGGAGTAACGCGGTCTGGTTTTTGTGAGAGATCGTGGCTGCTGGGTGGCTGGCGACTGGATTATGGGGTTCGGTGTGGCAGCAGGCGCTCTTCGGCCACTGTTGCTATGGTCCTGTGGTCAGTGGGTCATGGCGTGAGTCTGTGTGTCTGTGTGAGAACCGTGGCTGGCTGTGTCCTCGGCAGCCTGTGGTGGCCGGGAGCCCGGAGGCAGCAGGGCGGGCGGCCACAGCCCTGTAGCTGGGCTTGGGGTTTTCCAGGTGAGGACAGAGGACAGGGAAGCCAGCAGAGCTCGGCTGCAGGAGCGACTCAGCACATGGATCGATAACACGCGCACTGCCCTGCCCGAGCGACACCTGGCCTCTTCCTCCCTAGGTTGTGGGGGAGGCTTCCGGTCAAGGCTTTGCCAGAGTCCCTGGTGAGGTCTGGAGCTGCCGTCTGTCCTGCCGACTTGGTTCTCCCAGCCTCTCTTCCAGCTCTGTCCCCTGTGGCCCCTCAGCGCCGGAACTGTCCGTTTTTATTCTTCTAGGCTGCTCTCTTGACCAACGTCATCCGGCTCGCCCTCCCCACCCAGCTGAGGACCTGGGGGCTGAGATCTGGACGGTGACCTGCAGCCACCTAAGAGCCCGTTGGCATCTTCATGCAGTGAAGGCCTGTGACTCCCCGACCGTGGGCGCATCAGGCACCGTGTGCCCACGTTTTCTGCTTCAACAGCGGACACCATTCCTGATGCCAGGGGTGCCCAGATACCCTGTCTGACGCGAAGTGCCCCAGGATGAGCGGGGGCGGGTTTTCAAGGCGGCGGGTTTGCCTCGGTGGCCGCATGTGACCTGGGCGGTAGTCACTGTGTGTAGGGGGGTGGAGCTTGGCACAGCTGATCACAGGGACGAGTGATTCGTGTCCTGGCTGTGGACGGTCCCTACTGGCATCACGTGGAGGTTCCTGAAGCACCTGGCAGGCCCCCGTTGCCCCAGGATGAGCGGGGGCGGGTTTTCAAGGCGGCGGGTTTGCCTCGGTGGCCACATGTGACCTGGGCGGTAGTCACTGTGTGTAGGGGGGTGGAGCTTGGCACAGCTGATCACAGGGACGAGTGATTCGTGTCCTGGCTGTGGACAGTCCCTACTGGCATCACGTGGAGGTTCCTGGAGCACCTGGCAGGCCCCCCCCACCCCCCGTGCCCCTAGGTGGTGGTGCTGCCTTGGCTCTATGTGACGACGCATTTGTCCCCACCCTGCTCAGGGCCACTGCCGCCCTGCTGCCCCAGCCTGCCCTGCACTGTCCAGGACGGGGTTGGCCGAGCCGTCCGTCCACTCTCCCCCTTCCCTGGTTCCACTGCGCCCCTAGAGGCCCGTTCCTGGTGCTACTCCTGAGGGAAGGCCCCGGAGACCTGAGCTGGCTGGCCACATCTGCAACATCGGCATGGAGGCGGGGCTGCTGGGGACCAGTGTCGTCCCTCAGACCCCGTTCTTCTGGGCCGTGCACATCACGGAGGCTCGTGGGTGGCCCTCTTGGGCTCGCGGCCTTGTCACAGTGCCTTCCTGGGGTGTGCGTGGTGAGGCGCCAGTCACTGGTGGCATCCGGAGTGCCACATCTGAGCCCAGGCTTCAGTCCTGTTCTCCCTCCCTCCCCGGACCTTTGGTTCCTTCGGGGCAGACAGCGGTGCTGGTGCAGCGGGCGACGTCTGCAGGGCCCAGCGTGCCGCGGCGCGGGCGCTGAGGCCGCGGTGTGCGTGTGGTCCCCAGGCCCCGCAGTGCAGGACGCAGGCGCTGTTCGCCGCCCTGGCCTGGCGGAGGAGTGCCAGTCCCACCTGTGTGGCTCTGCCGTGCAGCCGAGCTCCACCTGGGTGAGCCGGGCGGGCCTGGAACAGGATGGTGCCGGGGAGCGCAGACAGAGCCTACCCGCGCGCCTCCTGCCAGCTCTGTTCTTTCCCGCTGCCCCCTCTCTCGGCATCTCTATCGCTGCCCGACCCCAGGACGGGGAGTGGAGGCGTCTCTGCTGCCCTTGGCCTTGTCCTCCGAGCCCTCCCAGGTACGACCACCCTCCTTCCCTCCCTTTCTCCCTTCCTCCTCCAGGTGCTGGGTGGCGGACGGGGTGGACACCTAGGCTGTGGTCATGTTCATCGATTCTGGCCAGTCGGCCACCATTCCCGTGCGGGCCCTGCACAGCCTGGATGGTGACGACTTCTGGAGAGAGGCGAGGCGTCCTTCTCCCCCTGCCGAGGACTTTGGGGACAGATCGACACTGTGCCTGTTTGCAGGGCCTCCGCGGCGGATGATGGGCAGCCGAGGCCCTCGGGGTGCCCTGCAGCCTCTCTCGGTTGGATCACACCCCAGTTTTTGGCATCTGCCCCCTGCAAAGCTGCCTCTTGAGTGTTAGTTTTCATACCTGGGCTCTGGGCACCCGGTGCCACCCAAGGCCAAGGCCGCCGGTGTGGGGAGCCTCCCACCCTGCTTCTGCCAGGGCCGCCCAGCGGTCACGCTTATGTACAAGTTCTGCTTAACAATGGTTGGAAAAGGATCCCGTGACAGAAGACGAGGATTTGCAAAGCCCCGGTGGGCACTGGCGCCCTGGCCGAGTCTCCCCACGTGCTGCTCCTGCAGACTCACACCTGCTGGGCCTCAGATTCCGCCTCGTGAAGCCGCCACCCCTTCTTTGCCGTGCCCTTTCTCAAGACTGGGGTTCGGTGAGCTGTGAAAGGGTGAAAGAATGCTTAGGGGGTTCAGGAGGAGAAGCAGAGCTGAAGACAGAGACCCCCCCAAGCACCCCCCAAATGCAGGCTCAAGGCCTCCTGGGAGGCTGAGGGGACTGGTGTCCAGTGGTCATGGGCACCACCCAGAGGTCGTCTTGGGTCATTGCATGAGGAGGGCCCCTGCCGTCCAGCCTGGGAGTGACAGGCCCGCCCTGGCTCGCCTCGGGAGTCGCAGGCCAGCTGAGCCTGACGCCTGATGGAGTGTTGGGGGATGGCCCGGAGTGGAGCCCCCCGCCCTGCATAGCAGCTCCCAGGCTGTCAGAGGGGCCAGAGTGTCCAACCCAGATCCGGGGGACACGCAGCTCCCCGGCGGACTTGGGGACAGCCCTGGGAGGTCAGGTGCATGGTGTTCAGCATCCTCCCTGCATGGATGAGAGCGGAAGGGACTCTGGTCTCATAGCAACCAAGTGGCGCCCTGGGCATGGAGCCTCGGTCTCCGCTGAGTGTGGCCGGCTTCCTGCACACGGAGCTGGCCCCAGGGTTTGGGGGCGGCAGGACAGCTGAGCTAGCGGAGTGAGGGCAGACCTCCTGACCCGCCTTGCGCGGGTCCAGTACATCGCAGTGGCAGCGTCCGCTTCCAGCCTCCACTCCAGCCCGAATGCGCCAGCAGAATGGGGTGGACAGTCTTCTGTCCCAGAATCTCTCATGAGAGAACAGGAAATCCCAGGTCCCTGTAATTATTTTAACCACAACAGTGCCGCCTCCTGCTCTCGCCTGCCCTGCTGGGCCCTCCCCCTCCCCTGCCCCGGGGTATCTGGTCTGGTCCTGGCGGCCCCAGGAGACTAGCAGGAACCCATCCGCAGGGGCTGGAAGCAGCAGAGCTCATTCCCAAAGCCCTGGCCCGCACTTCCGTCCCTTGTCCCTCCCGCCAGACCCAGTGCCACCAGGGTTTTGTCCTGTTGTGTTTTGCAGGCATTTTGAGTTCATGTCAGGTGATCCATCGCATTCTCAGAGGGACAATCACTGGTGCTTTGAACTTGGAGGTAATGACCCCGTGTCTCACTGGGACATTCTCCCTCCCCTCCCCTCCCGGGGTCTCAAGGGCAGGCCACCGCCAGGCCTGGGTCTGCAGATTTACAGGCATTAGAACAGCACTATGGAGGGTTGGTCAGGTGGACTGGCCGGGCATGGGGTCCCTCCCCCACGGGGCGGTCCCTCCCCCACGGGGCGGTCCCTTTCTCTTTGGGTCACGCATCCTGAAGTTTGAGGAGTTTCGGTGGCGTGGTACCATCGGCACGGGCCCCGCTCCTGTCTGGGGTCTGTGCCCTGCCCTCTCGTCTCTCGTTTGCTCTTGAGGCCTCGGGGCTGAAAAAGGCCACACTGGTGCCCAGTATTGGTTTGATTCCCATTTGCTTTTATCCTAAGCGCGCGCCTCTCGGCGGAGAGCGAAGTCTCGATTTGTCTTGAACCAAATGTAGGAAGCTTCCACGAGGTGGAAAGCCTCTGGTGGCCGTGTGTTTCTTTCCTGTCTCTCCTTAGCACCCAGAGCATGATGTAAGTTGCCCTCACGGATGCCGGAGGATGAAGGGTGAGGCTTAGTCCTCCTGGCACGCCACTGTAGAGTCAGGTGGCGAGCCTCTGACCAATGAGCCATCACCGTGGTGAATAAACGTTGGCATGTTGCACGAATTTGGGGTGACGGATTCCTGCCTAGCCACCCCTACCCGGCCCTTCGCCGCCCGGCCCGGGGTGTAGACGCACACTGAGGGGTGGGCTATCGACCCAGCAGCTCGTTTCGTTTCTCTTTGCCTTCTTAGAGGAGTGAAGAAAACTGATTCGGGATGATACGGCTTTCCTTTATGATGTGTAACTTCTTTGGAACCCTAACTTAGGGTCATAAAAAGGGTGTTAGGTTGGACCAAAAAAGTGGGGGTGTGTACAGCTCACGGGAGCTGGTGCCTCCCTTTGTGCCAGGGAGGACATGGACCCCGTTGTTTCTTTAAATAATTTTATTAGAGCCAAACTATTTAAATAATTTTATTCGTTTCATCCTTTGGTAGATGAGAAAAATACATTACAAAATACATTGCACAGAGGACACAGCTCACAGGACCCATTACTGACAACGCAGCCTACATTTCAGCCTGGGCCACAGGAACCAGGTTTCAGCTCTGCCGACGTTTGCCCCTTGGGTCCCGCTTTGTGGAACCCTCGGTGTCCGTTGGCACCCCGTTATCGCGTGGGTGTGGGCAGAGTTAGAGCAGTGTTGGGGGGCCTCCATCACCTGAAGTGGCGAGACGTTAACCCGCAAGGGAACGGGGTTGCCCCGTTAGAATGATGCGCACTCGAGCCCTCTCCCGCTCCGCGAGTCCTTTCTAAGACGAGCGTCTCCACCGGCCGCCCCTGGCCCGGCACTGAACTCATCGTCATCGTCCAGTCTGCAGGCACGGTCTGTCCTAAGAGGCTGCGTCAGCCCCGAAGCGAGCTTACCGATGGCGGGGGCAGCAGGTGCCGTGCGCGGACTTCGTGCCCGTACCTTGAAACAGCGTGTACAGACGACACAGCGCCGTGGGTCCAGCTTGGCAGACCCTCCCCCTCCCGGCCAGTTCCCAGAGCTTGGGGTAAAGACACGGGTGCATACAACCCCCTCCACAGGACCCCCCCCACAAGGAAACGGCTTGAAGGAATCCACAGTTCTCTGAACAGCTTTGCTCAGAGCTGTGCCCGTGTCCTCTGACGGGACCGCGTGACGCAAGGGAGGGGTGAGCGAAGGCACTACCTGCGAACACCCTCAGTGCACCCCAGGCCGCCTCCGGGAGGGAGGGGGGCCGGCCGACAGCGCAGCTGGCCCGGGAACGCTGCGGGCGTCCTGGAGACCCCGTCCCCACTCCGTTCACGCAGCAGCAGTGCTGTGGGCCGGTCTGTGACGCCGCCTCCTCCGCTCCTTAGAAGAGAAAATCAGTCCTGAGAATGACGGGCACCATCCAGCTGGCCGGGCTCCGCCCTCCGAAGGGCGCTGGTGGCTCCGGGGTCTTCGGAGACCTGGGGGTGGCCGGGCAGGGGCTTCGCCCACTCTTCTCTGGCTGTAGCAGCTGAGCCGCCTCTCACCTCTACCAGGGCACCCCTCCCCCACTGCCCAAGTCATTCGGGGGAGGGGCGGGAGGTGGGAAGAAGAACAGAGTCAAGACCAGCCTCTTCAAATTAACAAACTGTAATTGTTTTCCCAAAGATACATTTTTTCCATACACATCCATCATACACTGTAACCAAAAAAAGCAGTGTACATGAAATAAGAGAAAATAAATTAAAAATCCATAGCATAGGTAAGGAGGCTCTAGTCTGGAGCACAGCTGAGTTTCCAGCAATATAAGGAGGCTCGAAAGTTTCTCTTATAAGAATGCCTGCTAGCGAGGGTTCCAGCCAGGTGGTTGGTTGGTCTGTTAAGTCAGTCTTGAGTACTTGGAAACAGTTGTGTTGGTTTTTTCCTTAGCGTTTAGAATAGCCATCACTGTCCTGCAATAGGCAGAGCTATCACGTCCAGGAAAAACGAGGGAGGGAACCACAGAGGCGGCGTGAGATCCAAATACAGCATTCAAAGGTAATTGGTCCAGTGGTGCCTGGGGAGGGGGGGGGCGACACTCCGGGGTTAGCCATCTTCCTTCGGGGGTGTGTACCAGCCTGCGGAGAGACCCAAGAGGACAGTGAGGTGGAGGCGGACGCCCCCTCCCAGCCCTGACCACGGACGTCACCAGGGTTACAAGAAAGGTCCCAGGAAGAGCTTCCGGGGCCCGGAGAGCAGGTGGGCAGGCAGCCGAGCACCTGCCTACGGGAGACGAGGAGGCGGCGACGTGCCCAGCCTGACGTGGCAGAAGGGGGAGACAGGCTTTGTCACAGTGGTGGGGGGACGGGCAGTGCCACATCTACAGGTGGCACAAGCGCCGTTGCTTTCTGGGAGAAGGGGCTGTGGACGGAGCCGCCTCCAGCCCTGCCCTTGGGGACACGGGTGGTGCTGGGCCGACGGGCACAGACGGCAAAAGCAAGGCTGCTGGCCGTTCGGCTGGGAGAACCTCGGGCCGGCTCCAGTCTCACCGTTTTTTTCGTGGATCTGCACCAAGGACTTGTAGGACTGCTGTGCTCTTGTCAGACTGTATTGAGACTGGGGAGAGGAAGCCACCAAGTCAGGCCATGGCCGGCGGTGGCCTCACTGTCCCTTAGCTGCCGCCCAGACCCCCAGGAGTCCGGGCTCCCAACCCGGTGCTGCCCGCATTCGAAGCGTGTCCCGCTGGCCATCCCTCCATCCCTCGGGAGCAGTTCCGCAGCCTTCCCTTCCCAGACCTGGGCCCTCCCCAGTCCCAGCATGCCCTCAGGCAGGGCCCTGCCCCCGTTCCCGCCGTGGGTGTCCCAGGCCCGCTTGTCCGATGCCGCCAGCCCAGCGGCTCATCCCCTTGTCCCAGAAAGAAGGCAGCCTTGGTCGGCTCGTGGCCCAAGCTGCATCTGGCCCCGGCTGCTCACTTTGTTGGCTCCAAACTGCACCCGTGCCTTCCCCTTCACCAGCGTGGCACTGATCTGCATAATCACCGACTCTATCGAGTAGGCGCTGCTCCAGCCCTGGGAAGCGGGGACAAAGCAGTCAGGAGAGTCCCCGGGAACGGAACTCCTGCTCTCCGGTGAGGAGCTGCACCTGGAAGGCCCTGGCCCTCACCCCCAGAGCGGTCAGCAGGTGCGGGCCCTGCCCACGCCCGACCCACAGGGTGTGCGTGGTGAAGCCCACTGAGCCCGGCCCAGAGCCAGAGACGGGCTCACCTGTTTGGTGAGGAGTTCCATGCAGATGGCACCTCCGCCCAGGACATACCTGCGGGATGAGAGTTAGTCAGCTGTGCCTGGCCCAAGCTCCATGCCCCTCCCGCACCCCCAGTCACAGCGGCTGCCCTCTGCCCTTGCGGAGCCACTCACCCTCCGGACAGGACCGGAGACACGACCCTGACAAATGGTGGGTCAAAGGGAAAGTTGTCCTGAGTGAGAGACAGAGGCAGCGGTCAGGGCGCGTGGTCGGTGTCCTCCAGGGACTGGCAGGCGGGGGAGGCCTGAGCCGAGGGGGCCGGGACGGGGCCAGGCTCACCTTGAAGGAGAAGTTGAGGAGGATGAAGTCGGCGCCCTCCTTCTCCTTGAGGGTCTGGAGATCGCTGTGCAAAGCGCTGTCCTGGTCGACCCTAGGGAGCGAGTCGGGGCTCAGGCCGCTGGTCCCAGCTCGGGAGCCTCGGCTGGCCCCCGGCCCGCAGCAGAGGGACAAACCACTGCCCACGCCCGCTCCCCGCTCCCCGACCGCCCTGGACGTTCCCAGCACACTGGCTCCGCCTACACTCCACCTCAACTTCTTGTCCCATCCCAGAGTCTCACTCACTTGAGGAGTTTGACATTCCAGTCATACAGACTGTCATTCACCAGTTCCACTGCATAGTTTCCTGGAAAGCGGGAAGAAGACGGGCTGAGTCATGAGGATGGTCCAGGTGGGGAGCGCTGCCTCCCCAGGCCGGGAGAAAAAGTCACCAAGGCTCCAATGGACAGGTGCCAGTCTAGGCCACTGGCCCGGGGAAGGCCCCTCCTGGCCTGACAAGTTCATAGACAGTCATGTGTCCCAAAGCTGCTGGATCCCTGGCCCCTACCGGGCCCTCGTCTGTGAAAGGCGCGTGCTCGGGCCCCGCCCAGAGGCACACTCACCGCCTTTGAAGCTCTGTGACCGGTAGATGTCCCTGAGCTCCTTCATCAGCCGGTCAGTGGCCTGCACCGAGCCAGACACCGCCCCCTGTGAGCAGGCGGGGAAGACGGAAACGTGTCACTGTCCCGGGGCTTGGGAACACGCGTTCCAGACCTTAGGGGCAGGCTGGCGGCTTGCTCGAGGTTTGGGCAAGGCTTAGGTGCACCCATAACCCATCCAAAAAGGGGTCCACTCCCCAGATGGACACGCGATGGCCTGCCACCTCCCAGCCGGGGCCCTCCGACCCCTCAGCTCAGCCTCTCCCTACAAGGTACGTACATTTAAGTAATCTTGCCTCTGGTTCTTTTTAATTTTCTCTAGTATGGCCAAGTTTTCTTTTCCGATGCCATCATCTTCAGATTTCTTGCCCTCGGCTGGCTCTTCCTCTTTCATTTCATAGTGATCTAGGTCTTCTGTGTCCTGGTCGGGGGAGGGCAGAGGAGGAAAGAAACCAACACAGGCTGTGGAGGGGCCGTCGCCACCCGAGTCCCACTTGGCAAGTTAAGGAGCAGCTGAGTCTCTAGCAGCTAAGGTGCTGAGCGCCCTTTCTGTGTCTGGAATGGCTCCCACCCCGTGGCCTCCAATCTCAAGGACAAGGCACAATGTGCCTCCCAGTCTGCTCGCCCGCAGCAGTGCTATGTCAGGACCCAGGGAAAGCCGGCAGGGACTGGCCCTCCTGCTTCCCAGACCGACCCTGCTCCAGCCATCCTGAAAATCTCCCTTAGCAGCAGAAACGCTTAATTCCTAGAATGACTTTGGCCTGACACTAACTCGAAGCTCACGTTTCACCCGCTGACTGCTGTACTGGGAGTCCTCAGGCCCCAGTCTAAGGGATAAACTGGACCAGAGTCTCCTGCCCTCCAGCCCAGGGCCTGAGCCACGGACACAAAGACGAGGAAGGGGATCCAGACGGGACATGTCAAGATGGGGGGGTCTCCTGCTCTAAGTGACCGAGCAGCTTGCTGTGCGTGGGGGAGGAGCCCCACTCAGATGGGCTCCGGCAGACCTGGAGGCGTGGCCCAGTGGGCTCCCCACTGTCTAAGCGCAGTAAGTTCATGTCAGCAGTCCTGCATGTGTCTTAAGACCCTAACAAAGTCACAGGAGTTGCAGACAAGGCAAGGAAACAAGGCCACCAGAGTGACCCGCGGTAACACCAACCTAGTTACTACAGTGGCTGCCGCCGTCCACCGAATGCCCGTTCTGGGTGGGGTGCGTACAGATGCGGCGCACACAGGCTCATCTAAGGCCCAGCCACCCCACTGTTACCAGCACTCCCATCTCACAGATGAGGAAGCTGAGGTCTAGGGAGGATAATTCTCACGCCCAAAGTCATACGACTCTTAGCAGAGATGAAAAGTGAGTCAAATTCTGTTTGGCTCTGAAACGCGAGATCTTAATTGCTATATTGTATTCTGCAAAAATACCTGTTTTTAGAGAGTGTATCAGATAAAATCTAGCACTCACCACGTACTACATGAAGCATTTCACATGCAATGCCTCATTTAGCCAACCCCACTTAGGAGATGTCATAACCCCGTTTTATGAAAAAGGAACATGCAGCTTAGTGAGATCTGGTGAAGCTCCCAACTGAGACAGCTCGCGGATGCGGTGCAGCGCGGGTCTGACCGCAGGGCGTGTGGGGTCCACCGGCCGCCACCTGGCACAGCGAGCGGGCCTGCACTTCGCCGTCCCCAGGGCCTGGGTGTGGGCGCCCTGCCTCTTCTAGTGCCCGGCGGCTCCCCCGGGTCAGTGAGTCTTTTCCCTTTGGCACCTTCCTCTCCCCAGTTCTAAACTGCAGCTCTGCGCGCTGCGGGTGCTCAGTGCCGCCGCCTGCAAGAGCTTCCCGCCAGTGCCGCCCTGGGTGGCAAGCCTACCTCAGGCATCTCCTCATCTTCATCTTCTGAAGACACGTCTTCCTGTGTGCACTGCAGTGGGAGAGGGGAGAGGGGGGATCAGAGCCCCGAGGCGTCCTAGGACGCAGCCTGCGACCTGCTCCCCGCAGCCTCCAGGGCCGGAGGCCGTGTGCCTGCCCGTAACACTGGCAGCCTCTCCCCTAGTCAGGTCTGCGTGGACGTGGCAGCCTGGGAATGACTTCGCCACCAGCCCCATACTCTCCTGCCATGCGCCAAAGCACAAAAGAGAAGCAAAGTGGCTGTTTGTCTCCCACCTCAGGATTCCCAGTCCAAGTCCCCCAAGAACCCCTCCTTCACTCAGTTGTCACTAGATCGACAGCGTCTTCTTGGCTCCTAAAGGGGAACTTGAGGCCCGTGGACGTGGCAGCCTGGGAATGACTTCGCCACCAGCCCCATACTCTCCTGCCACGCGCCAAAGCACAAAAGAGAAGCAAAGTGGCTGTTCGTCTCCCACCTCAGGATTCCCAGTCCAAGTCCCCCAAGAACCCCTCCTTCACTCAGTTGTCACTAGATCGACAGCGTCTTCTTGGCTCCTAAAGGGGAACTTGAGGCCCCAGTGGCCACCACTGCTACCGGTCAGAGGCCCCTCCTCTCTACCTGAGGGGCCCCGCCCAGGAGAGGATTCTGACAGGGCTGGGGCAACTCCGGGCCCCATGTGGCTAGATCCTATCTGGAGGAGAAAAGAGGCCGAGCGTCCGGACAGGCGCGCGTGGGGCGGGGAGGACCTGCGTGGGCCGTACCGGTCAGAGGCCCCAGTGGCCACCACTGCTACTCGTCAGAGGCCCCTCCTCTCTACCTGAGGGGCCCCGGCCAGGAGAGGATTCTGACAGGGCTGGGGCGACTCCGGGCCCCATGTGGCTAGATCCTATCTGGAGGAGAAAAGAGGCCGAGCGTCCGGACAGGCGCGCGTGGGGCGGGGAGGACCTGTGTGGGGCGGGGAGGACCTGCGTGGGCCGGGCCACCCACCGCTCACCTGCTCCGCGGGCAGGGGCTGGTCCAGCATCTCTACGTCCGGGTGCTGCGGGAGGTTATAGAGCTTACAGAGGTCCGAGATGATCCTCTTCAGGTGCTGCAGCAGCTGCGGGGGGGCCACAGGGGCGTCACTGCCCCGTCCCAGCCGGACAGGTGCGCTGGAGAGCCCTCAGCTCAGACCCCGAAGTGGTGCCCTGCTCTCTAAGCCCCGGACCCCGCGGCCGGGGGAGCGGGCTTACGGCCCGGCCCGGGGCTGGTGCAGGGCCCTCGCTCTGGCTTTGGTAAGCGAGTTTCCCGAGAAGTCTGCCGCAAAGGTTCAGCCCAGCGCACCACCCACTTTCCAGACGCAGGTCCCTCTCGCGGGCAGTCTTCACGACATGGGCCTCGGGGGAAGAGAGCGCACCCCACGCCGACACCCGGCCCCTCACCAGAGTATTCCCTTTCTTTATGTCCACCAGCCTCTCCAAGACAGCAGCCAAGTTAGGGTCATCGGACTCCACCGACCAGATTGGGGGCACAGCAGGGTACGACTCCTGAGGGGAAAAGACAGGGCGAGCGGTCAAGGTGGGCGGCTCCGGGGAGAGCTGGACTTCGCCTGCCCTCTGCTCCTGCGCCGGCAGCCCCCGCACGCGCGCAGAGGCCCAGCTCGGCGGCCTGTGTCTCACCCAGGCAGGCTCCGGACTCGAGGTCCTCCCGCCCCCAGCGCTGTCCTCCAACCCCACTCCATCAGCCGAGGGAGGACTCCCCTCAGCAGCCACACTGCCGCGGGGAGAGCAGACCAGGCCGCTGCCTTTCAGCTGGGGAAGGGAGGGTCGCAACGAGACTGTACCTCCAGAACCTCAAGTGCAGGGGCAGCAGGAGCAAGTGCCGTACCCCGCTCCCAACGGACCCCCTCAGAGGCCAGGTCTCCCCACCGCTCCCTTGGGAGCCTGCCACCCTCTCCGTCCAGGCGTAGGCTGCAGGGCTCCACATAGCAGGCTGGGAGAAAGAAGCCCACGCTGCTCGCATTCCCAGCATTCCTGAGCCCCGGTGCCAAAGGCGGCCTGACCAGACTCCCCCTCTGCCCAAAGCAAGGGGCCAGTGCGGACCGAGCCCCCCTTACAGCAGCCAGAGTCTGCCTGAAGCTTCTACACTCTCCTCCTGCCAGAGACAGACAGGGGACAGCCTCTGGCAACTGCAAGGGCAGCAAGAAGGGGGCAAACCTACCCTCAAGGAACTAGCAACTTAACTCGGAACAAAATCAACCCCTGCGGTTCCCCCGCACGCCAGGGACATCGCCCACGTCCACGGGGGTCTGAGCTCTGCTCCGGCCCTGACCCTCCGTGCCAGAGAACAAACGCTCGAGCCGCTCGGGTCTCCCCCCCGGCCACACCCAGTCCTCCCGTCTCTACTTTTCTTTAGTAGGAAAAAAGGCGGCTGGGGAAATGGGAGAAGAGAGAGATGGGACGCGTGAGTTTCGGTGGGGCAGCATCCAACCCAAGCTGAGGCTCGCTCACCAAACCTTGACCTGGTTTGATGGAGGAAAGGGCGAGACGGGAACCACGGAAACCGAATCCAGGCCCCAAAGTACCACGCAATTCACAGGTCTGTCTTTCCCCAGACTGTTCCCATTTGCCGTCCCCCTGCCCGGATAGAGTACCGTCCCTTAGCTCCCTAACCAGTGCTCCGGGCAGAGAGGACACTAGCACAGCAGGTAGTAGCAGCCACTATAAAAGCTACCCCACACAGGACCAGACATTCCCGGGTGATCAGAGGCCAACCCTCTCCAGGGGACGTGTGAGGGCGGACCGGGCAGGCGACATGTAAAGGTCTCCCAGTCCAGCGAGGCTGGGATGGAATGATGTCCACGGGGGTGAGAGAGAACTGTCACTGCTCCGAAAGAGAGAGCCCTCAAACACCACCGCCATTACCAGGAAAGGCAACAAACAACCCAGGACAACTGGCGACTCAGAAGGAACAGGAGGGGAGTGGCAGACCTAGGACCAGCTAGGGTAGAAGGAGAGTTACAGGTTACACCAGAATAAAGGGGAGTCCACAGGTGAGGAAGACGGGGTCAGGGCACTGCCACCCGCCCCTTGGCAAAATTCAGAGAGCAGAGAAGGGCCGCATTAGAGGTGCCTGGGCGGGGATCCCACAGGTGGCAACGTCCTAAGTCAAAGGTACTACTACTGAGCAGGGGGCAGCACGGAAACGTGCCGAGGTCCCAGCCAAGTCCTTCCAGCTGGGTCGGGACAGAGGCCTGGCACCTTGGCACGAGCGAGGGGAAGGAAAGGGCGCTCCGAGGTGGGAAGGTGAAGTCGTGCAGTGGCCAAAACGAGCCCAAGTCCCGAACCCTGGGATGTAGGTGGGACGGTGGCAAGGGGCAGCGGAGGCGCCATATGTCGGGGTGTCCCTCACTATGAAGGCTCGATGGCAGAGATTCTGGGTGCTGGGCAGAACCCCCAGCCCCAGAAACAAGTGTAACCGGCAGAGAAGGGGCCGAGCCTCGGAAGCGGACTCGGCCTCCCAGGTCTTCCGAGACCAGAGAGCGGTGTGGGGGGACCCCGAGTCCCTGACAAGGGGCCCCAGAGAGGCGGACGCGAGGGGCTCCTCACCGTGATGTTGCAGTGGATGCGGACGGGATCCCCGGGCACCGACCCCCGAGCGGGGAGATGCGGTCCGGGCGCGGCC